ACACACACACACACACTCACCCCAGGGGGAAGCTTTTATTTTGAATTTTGAGTTGAGCTGGGGGAGTTTTGGCTCCCACAGATCTTACATAATCTGTTGTGTTCTTTATGAAGGAGGCCTCTTTCTCCACTTCACAGACTCTTGTAGCCAGAAATGATCTGCATTTATTATCAGCTTAATGTTATAATACAGCAGACTTTATTTTATCGGTTAACATTAAACACATGGTAACATTGTGTGTGTAGGTTCATGCATACAGTAGATCCTCTTTGGTCAGTGCTGGTTGTACAGCTGTCGTCTGGGCTCATTTTATATTCACTAGGTCAGATTGTGAAAAGCAAAAACATAATTTAAAGAAAATAAAGGTTATTTTTGAAAACAAACAACTTTTGTGAATGTTTTACTTTTAAAGCTACACTAAATATTTCTTGGCCTTTTAAGTAGGGATGCTCCAATCAGGCTTTTAATGGCTGATATCAATAACGATGCATCAGACAGAGCAGACCTTAAAATAACAGAATCATTCTGATGATACACTGACTTATAATCGGGAGAACTGTCTCTTTAATTCTCACTCTGCACCCTGAACGCATCTTCGTGCACTCTGTAACTTTAGTGATCGGTGATCTAACGCAAGAAGTCTGTAACACTTCACGGCCCATCGTACCACCAACTCTGGGTCTTCAGCTAAAAAGAGGCTAGCTCGGTATTCTCAGTACATGCTTTTATAAACTACTCTGCACTCGCGAAATATGACAGCTTAAAAAATTGCAGTAAGGGGCATTGAATTTTATTTCATTAATTTTATGAAACACACAACTTTATTATATATTATGGACAATAGATAGCTTTGAAAATCCTCCAAAACCCTGCTAGCTCATCCACAGGCCGCCTGCACCATGTCCAGCTCCACGTGGACAGGAACATGAACTGCTCTTAGACGATAGCTGGCTGAAGATCAGATTCACTGTTTATCAGCTTCTTAACTTCTCTGTAAAGAGTAAACCACGAATCCTGATCACTTCCTGTGGGATTGGAGCATCACTACTTTCTAAAGGCGTCTTTATTGGGATTCAGCATCTTCCTCGTTATAATCACAACACAATATGAAAGAAATATAGGTAGAAATACATTCGGTGTCAAAACAGCCACATCCCAGCGTTTTATTAAGCATTTTCATCATCTTACGACTATGTTCATAAAGCAACATATTGTGTCGGGAGTCAGTCTCCAGCCGTGAAGAGCGTCTCTACCTGATGATCTACAACGTTTTTCTAATGTGAACAAACCCCGTGAGGAGGGAGGGAGGCTGGGGGGAGGGAGGGAGGTTTCAGGAGAGCGGCCTCTTCGTTATGTCCTGTTCTGACAGGTAGTAGTTCAGGTATCCTCCTAGAGCGCCGACAGCCACCGCCGTCATGTGACTGGAACAGCCGTCTGTGAGAGGAGAGATTACAGAAACAGACAGAAGAGAGAGGAAGAGGAAAGAGTGAGAGAAGAAATTAGAGAAAGAATTATGAGAAGTATTTAAATCCTTTGAGTAAAAATGTTAACACGACAAAATATCAAAACCTCTCTAAATATTCATAAATATAAAAGAGCTACAAATAACTTCCTAAAAGAAGCAAAACATTTACAATTATCTGCACACAATTTCCTTCTTCCCCCCTAAAATCAACCTCCAAGCTTAAATAACTGAAGGACTGAAGGAATATTTTAAGAATTAACCCGGACGAGCCCCCATTTATGTTACGACCCAGCTCGTGAAGGCAAACAACATAAAACCGGTTGGTTTTGATGAATTGTTGTCATATTGCAGTAATCCTACATGTTGTACAGGAGCAACAGTGATGTGTGACGCTTCCTGTTTGAGCTCCGTCACAAACTGACCTGGAAGTATTTTCTCCCTCCTCTTCACTCTCCTGTGAGGCTGCAGTTGTTCCAGCAGCTCGTCTCCAATGATCTGAGAGATGACGCTCTCTGAGAGAACAAACAGAGCCAAAAATCAACTGTTAATCTATTTATCCACCACGGAGCATCTTCATTTACTTTGCCCATTTTCAGCTCTTGTGTGATAAAAAGAACATGGAACGTGACATTTTTAGCTCAATTATGTATAAATATACGTGACAGGACACAAATAATTAAACTTTTAAGGCATTGTGATTGAGCAGGTGACATGGAATTAGCCCCCAGTAAAAGAAAACACAAGATATTAGGCTTAAATGTTTTCATTTGACAACCATGCTGCCTCGCAATAACCTGAGGTTCAGGTTCAGTAACCTTTAACCGTTATTTATTTAAACATGTTATGATGATAATGTTGAAACACTCACTGTCTCTCCCGAAGCAGCCCACTTCCTCATCCTGCAGCCTGAGGATGTGCTGCAGCCAATCAGCTTTGTAGAAGTCGGAGAAACCGGCCAATCCGCAAATCAGGACTGTTGACAGAAAACAGAGGAGCTCAAGTCATTTGACCTTCAGTCGTCTACGTTGTTCTCTGCTGAATCTCTCGCTGCACCGCGTCCTTTTTATAGCAATACGTTTAGTTTCTGAGCTTTACATGTGTCAGTATCTATAAAGAAGACACTAAATAGATTAAAGCCTTTGTAATCTCTTATTGGCTGCTTTGTTTTCCATCTTTTTTGTTTGTTGGAGAGAATCAAACTCAATAAATCACAATTAATAATAATACACCGCAAAAATTTACTGGATCCAGATTACAAGACGTAGCTATCAAATTATCTTTTTTAATTTTTAAGCCGCTTGAAAGAAAGAAAATCGTCATAATATGTGAAATATGTGCAGTAAAATAAACACGTAAATAGCACAAACTGCAGTTCCTCTAACGACCACTAGAGGCTGGCTCCAGCAGTGAGTCAGTCTCCATAAAGTGTCATATTAAAATACTTTACAGCAGAAATAAACATGTTTACAGCCTTTTGGTCTCTAGGGCTAATTTNNATATAAAGGATTAAAGTTAAGTATAATTAAAGCCGCTCACTGTTCTCAATGAAGATGTCGACCGTCTGCTCGGTCAGACCGTCTCTGATGATGTCCTGGTTGGTCTTCATCATGTTGGAGCAGAAGATCTTCTCGTAGCTGCGTTCGGTCATGTTCTCTCGGGACGGTCGAGTGTCGCCTTTCAGCAGGTTGGTGCAGCCTCGCTGGGAGGGAAACACGAAGCGGTCAGCGTCTCGCCACGAGGACGTTCGTTAAACAGAACAACGTGTTTATATCTTTTATGTTATTGGCGATTCAGACTCCCTATGGGACTATAAAGTTTTTTCTGAAAGTAAAGTAAGTTTTAAGACATTAAATATATATTTTAACGCCTCCCACCCTGGTTTGTTATGTTACCGTCTCACCATTTTCCCGATCATGAAGTAGAGCAGCTGGGTGGGAACAGAGAGTAGTGTGGACAACCGAACTGAGTCATCGTGTCCGGCGGGTTTGGTGACGATGCATGGCGTCCCCGTTCCATCTTCCTGCTCACACAACACACACACACACACACACACACACACACACACACACACAGGTCATTATTCCTTTATTTCAGGTTGCATCCACCAGAAGGTTTTGTGCATTTTTCTGTATAAATTAATAAATACATTTTTCTTTATTGTTAAAGTCGTTGTTGATGATTTTCTGTCCATTAAATAATTGTTTCAGGACTAAAACCTGAAACTAAATAAAAATATTAACTCTGAATCAAAATAAACTTTTATTTTTGGATGTTTTTTTACTTGAAAAAGAACCCAAGGACTATTTTTTAACCCTCTCAAGTCCCAACAAGCTCCACCAATCAGAGAGAGGGACAACCTGATCAAATGTCTTCATAGTGAAACCGGTGTTTGTGGTCAAAAGACTCAGCTGTGGTGAAATAAAGTTGTGTTTTCTGCGTGTTGTCTGTGTGTGTCTGTGTGTGTGTGTGTGTGTGTGTGTGTGTGTGTGTTCGTACCAGGTTCCCAGCAGCAGGGTCAGACATTTGTCACTGAGCTGCTCATCGTAGCACTCGGTGGAAACGGTGGACGGGTAGACCAGGCTGGGATCTGTGGCGCTCCACCCGGGAGGAATCACCCAGAAAGTCCACGACATCAGAGGCTCGAACTCTGAGACGCAGCGGCAGCGGGATTACGGAGGGAAAGAGTTTATATTATAGATCATAGTTTATATTAAAAGGCAAATAATACATTAAAAAGACTATACACTTAAAAAACAGATGACTAAATGAGCCTAAGATCTAATCTAGTTTAGGAAGAGTGAACATTAAATAATATTAAGGATCATTCACATTTATTAAACATTTGTTTTATTAACATAAGGAGTCTTCCGAGCTACGGGCCTACTTGAGTGAAGGGTTTCTGGGTAATGAAGTCCTTCCTCACCTCTGTAGTACTTCGGGTCGTTCTGCTGCAGGGCGGCGACGGCCTTGTCGAAGGTTTGGTCGAGACGTTTGACGAGAGCGACGGCGGTGGTTCTCTGAGCCCAGCTGACTGGGTCGCTGTGAGGCCACGTCCGAACCGCCTCCTTCAGTTCAGCTGAGACAGAAACAACCACAGAAGAAGAATCAGGGCCAATTTTGCTAATACTTTGGTTTGTAGCTGCAAAACTAACACTATTCCCAACAACCAATCGACTTCGTGTTTAATTAGAATAAACTTTACTATTATTATTAAAAATAAACAAAAACATGAATCAGAAAACCACAAAATCAACATGAAACATTAAGCTGTGCAGTGGGCGGAGTCTACCAGTCCCGCCCTTTGCAGTGGGCAGAGGTCTACAGTCCCAAGATGTAGAATAAAGCTACTTTTATACAAAACAGTATAAAGACAAAGAGGTTTTATTGTTTTTACTTCATTTATCTTTGTGTTTTTTCATTGATCTCTTTCTTTAGAGCTCTGAGCACTTTTACTTTTACATGTTTATCTTCAACCTTTATTATGTTTATCTGTTGCAAACCAAATCTACCTTAATGTACAAATAAAGTCAGCTTGCTAAACATCAGCATGTCACCACTGTCATTCAGTCAGACAGACAGACAGACAGACAGATCTCATAAACACTGTTAAATCCACCGTATTCTTATTAAATTCAGTGGTTCCCAACCTGAGGGTCGGAGCCCCATAGAGGTCGACCAAAAGCTTCACAGGGTGTCGTGAGGTCTTTTAAAGGTTGTAGGAAAACTTTAAAGATATACACAGCCGGCCTATAACTCATCATCCTGCGTTAGTGTGCAGTTATAACAACCAGAAAGCTAATAGAAGAACTCTGTATGATTGTTAATTAATAAAATACAGACAGATAATTGTATGAAAAGTTCCTAAAAATATAATAAAAACTCATTAAACTCAATAATCTGCTCACAGTTCATCACAAATCACTGGTTTTACAGAAACTTCCTGCTGTTCCTGTTTCACTGTTTACACTTTATCAGCTGTTCTCTGTTATTGTTACACATTAAACGTAATAAATGTAATAATAATAATTAGAATTATAATAATACTAATGTCAAAAGCACTAAACCTTGAAAAAAGTCTTTAACTTTAACCATTAATGATTTCTCTCAAAAGCTCCCACATTTATCAGTCACAAACATGACTCAATAGTTAATCATGAGTATTAATAATTAGTATTAGTGTATTTCTCCCTACAGTCTCACTTTATCCGGAGCGCCTGATAAACAAACCCTGCAGATCTCTTCCAGATGTTTCATGCAGCTGTTTACTCACCCTGCAGCATGAGGAACCCGACCACCCCGTCCAGGTTGATGTGCTCATGCTGCCGCTCCAGGAAGGATGCTCCCCTGTTGAGGCTGCCCAGGATGTCATCGATCACCTCGGCCCGCGCTGCCCCGCACACTGCGGCAAACAGGAGCAGCGCGGCGGCCAGCTGCTGCCCCGCGGCCCGCATCTTCTCATCGGATAGTCCCAGTGTGGAGGCTCCGGGGGCTTCTCCGACCAGAGACTGAGAGAGGAGCAGGGAGGACGGGCTGTCTCTCCTCTAGCAGGGAGGAGGAGGAGGAGGAGGAGGAGGAGGAAGAGAGAGACAAGGTGAGGAGGAGGAGGAGGGAGGAAACCGTGACGTCAGGAAGGATGTCATTACGAAACTTTCTTTTTCTTTTTTCTTTCTTTTCAAATTTCTTTTAATCACATCCATGGATTAAAGCTCATTTCTACCAGTAAAATAACAAATAAGATGATAACTTTACCTTAATAATCAATAAATGTTCATGTTGAGACAAAGTTAGGAGATAAAAAGTCAGATTTATGAGATGAAATAAGATTAGTGAACTTGTTGTTGCAGGTTTTGCAGTTTTAATAATAATAATAATAATAATAAAAATACATTGTTGACTTTTTCCAGTTTGAACTTTTGCAGGTTTTGTGGTTGTAAATAAAAATAACATGTGTTGACAGAAGAAGTCAACAGACAACAGGAAGTATTGTGTTATTTTTTATCTGATTAAAGGAAGGATGTCATTACGAAATCAACACTTAAGATACTTAAGACTTAAGTGAAACAAAGTTTTTTTTATTTCTCTGACACATAATCATCACATCATCCACCAGTAAAATAAAAAAAGATTAAAAAACGTATATTTATGATAATTATGATGTTTTAATCTCAGAATTTTAAATTTAAATCCCCCACGATCCAACTTTAAAATATCCTCCTTACATTATATATTACCTATTACTATCCTACTGTATGTTGTATTTAAACTTATTATGAAGTTTATTATTATAAAGTCTGTTTACATGAACACAAACTGTCATTACAAGTCATCAAACTCCAATTATCGTATAAGAAACATGACCTTATATACTCAGAGACAGCACAGAGGCACT